CCCTTGGACGTTGTGGGACCTTGCCAAAGGGGGGGGTAGCGTCCACCTGTGAAGCGAAACTTCGCGAGCGACGACGACAGTTGAATCTCATGCTTCGAACACCCCCGCTGAAGTGTAATCTTCTCGTCCATCTTGCATCCCGACCGTTAGTTGTAGATGACGGCAAGGCGAAGACAACTGGACCCCGCGACCTGCGACCACACCCCGCCTTGATGCCTTGATTTGACGAGATAATACTGACAGGTTCTGACGTCATGGCCTGTGGAAAGTTCTGAGATATTTCCTGCGGTTTGGGGTGTCGTCGAGGGTCTGCCTACCTGCCTGCTGCCTCAATCTTTTTCGAGGGAGGGGGTGTGGGATGGATGCGTGAGATCCAGTTGTCGCCGACCATCGACCTGCATGCGGCTGACAAGGTCAAGCGGTGGCCCACGTGCGTACCACTCGACGACATCCCATCTCGACGGGNGACCTGCATGCGGCTGACAAGGTCAAGCGGTGGCCCACGTGCGTACCACTCGACGACATCCCATCTCGACGGGGAAGCGGTACGGGAAATGGCCAACAGAAAGGCCGTCGGGCCGGACGACCTACCGGCTGAGCTGATCAAGGTTTTCCTGGACAGAGATCAAGGTCTCCTCCGCGAGTTCCACGCGACTGTCGTGGACGTGTGGCAGACTGGGGACGTACCACAGCTGTGGAAGTGGCAGACTGGGGACGTACCACAGCAGTGGAAGGATGCCACCATCAAAGTGCTGTTCAGGAAGGGGGACACGATGGAGTGCGGCAACTACCGGGGCATTTCTCTCGTCGCACACGCCGGTATGGTGCTGCTTAAGGTCGTCGCTACACGACTGAGTCACTACTGCGAGCGAGAGGACATCCTCCCGGAGGAGCAGAGCGGTTTCCGCCCACACCGGTCGACGCTCGACATGCTGTTCGCCATCCAGCGGCTCCATGAGCTCGCGAGGAAGAAGAGTACTGCGGTGTTCGCGTGCTTCGTCGACCTCACCAAGACATACGATTCGGTGGACCGAGACCTACTGTGGGACGTGCTCCGACGCTTCGGCGTGCCCCCGAAGATGCTGGCGGTCATTCGCCACTTCCACGAGGGCATGAGGGCGCGCGTCCGAACGGACGACGGGCAGTACTCGGAATGGTTCGACGTGGGCCAAGGCCTCCGACAGGGGTGCAACCTGGCCCCGCTGCTGTTCAACTTGTTATTTGCCGCGATGCTCATGGTCGCTGTGGCCGAGTTCGACAAGGACCCCCAAGTGACGGCGGACATGGTCAAGATCGGGACACAAGTGGAGTAACGGGCAAGAAGGGCAGGTCGGCGGGGAAGAAGACGACGGTGGTGACGGACGCGGAGGCCTTGTGGGCCATGCTCTACGCTGACGACGCGGCCATCGTCTCGCGCTCGCCGGA